TGCGGCCGCGCGCCCACAACCACGGTGTGCTTGCTTCTTTCCTGGTGATTTTTTTCCTGACAAAAAGCAGGTTCACCGCTATACCTGGAGCAACTGAAGCTCCAGACGGGAGAAAAGGCATAGGGTGCTAAAGAGAAAATCAATAAGCTGTTTGCTGTTTCGTTTGCTCTGCAGCAGCCGAGTGGCTGCTGCCCCCCGCTCTGCCCCTGCAGCACACCTCCAGTGCAACCGCCAGCCTGCGCGATTCCCCAGCCCTTCTTCTTAATCCTATCCCCCTCCTGCCCGCGTGGGATCCTGTGATCTGATTACTGGTATGAAGAGAGGCCCGACGCTCCCGGTAACTGCAGAAACGGATGGCATTCCCATGGTAACGTGGTAAAAGCCTAACCGGTGTGCCCATCAGGACGGCTGTAGGCAGGAGAAACAAACCACTGCTTCACCCTCTACCAGACCACCCAAAGGAACGAGTTTCCTCTAAAATACCACAAAACCCAGAGTCAGTTGTGGGGGAAAAAAAAAAAAATAGTGTGAGATTGATGTGTCATCCCCTCTGTCTGAGGCTGGAAAGGAGGATAATAGGGTTTTTTCACCCACAATTCACACGTGGTCAGGGCTTTCTTTAAGCAGGTACCTTCCTCCTGAAGAACATCGCTACAGAAGTAACACACTGCCCAGGAGACGTATGCGCAGAGCTGGTACTCCAGCCACTAAAGCCATATCCCCACCGTAGCTCATCTGAGGACAGGCTTTGCTTTTTTTTTTTTTCTTTTTTCTATATAAAGCAAAGCAAACAGTTCTAAGATGGTATTTGACTGTATTAGGAGATTTGTGGCTTTTCTTTTAAAGATCCTTAGCAGCCACCAGGTCCTAACTGAGTTAGGATACTCTGAAATACCCACGCCAACATAACAACAAATCCTCCCCAGTTTTATACTCTGAAAACAATTCTCAAAGAAAGAGCCTCAGTTAATGTATTTCATTTTTCTTAATTTCTGGAAGAAATTCTTATTTTTTAGAATCTTGTCATCTTTAAGTCCTTTAAAAGACTTCAATAGCTGTGAGATATTTGCCTCTGCCTCAAGCTGGATCGCGCCCATGTGTCTTGCTCGGCTCTAATGAGCTAGGTATTAGTCTTGCTTCGTTTTCATTCTGCAGTACTTTTGTTCCTCAGCTATTTCTGTAACCACACAACCCCCCCGCCCCCAGCATCCACATGTCTCATTAGAACAGAATTTAATAAAGATAACTTGTAATGGGAGCTGTGCATGAGCACTAAAGGATGACTAACGTTCTGCATGTAGGTCAGGTACTCCTCCCAAACCCCAGCAGATGACGGGTACTGCTCTTTGCTCACGCAAGGGCACGGCCGCGGAGCCTCTGCGTCCTGCAGGTGCACACAACAGCCGGATCTCTGCTTTCTGGCTGATGGGAGAGCTACAGAGGAGACTGCAACCAAAGTTTCTTTGGGTTTGAAATAGGTCAGGCTCAGAAAGAATGGCTACATTTAATAGCAATTAGGGTTTCTATAGGATACGTGGTCCATATAGATATTCACAACCCATGTGTCCATCTCAGAGCCTTACAGCCCTCCTAACCTCACACCTGGTACTTCAGAGGAACTGAGGGCTTGGAGATGTGACAGTCGTCTGGGATTTTTCTCCTCTCTCAAGAAAAAGAGAAGGGTCTTCCCACCGTTACAGAAAGAAGGGGAAACGCACCAAACGCCCAAGGTGTAAAGAGAATCTTCAACCTTGGTCATATGCAGTCCTGTTAAAACACTAACACTTCCATCTCCTAAGGCAAGTTTGGAAAGATAGCGAAGTTTGGGATAAATACGATGGACAACCTTACCTCTGAAAGAAACACAGGAACTCACTCTAAGGTCCTGCATCTTCTCATCTGTTTTTAGCAGGAAGAGCCACTCCCCCCAAGCATTGCCCCGTAGGTATATGGGCAAAGCCCTTCCTGGGGAGAGATACCAGCACTAACTTCAGGTCTAACTGAGGGAGCTGAACGAAGGGACTTGGAGTCTTTAATAAGGAGGAGATTGCAGTGAGTTCTGACGAATTTCCGGGTCAGATCAGTGACGGGGGGATGGAGACGGTGCGGGAGCATCCCACCCGTGCACGCCATCTCTGGTGCACCGCGGCAGGCAGCAGCAGCGCACGCCCCCCGTCCTGCAGCCATACCTCCCTGGGTCACATCCCCTAATTAGAGGTTGATATTGCAAACCCCACCTAAACCCCAATGAAGCAGCTCTCCTAATTTGAATCCGAGGCAGCAGAACACGCAAAGTTTGCTGTTATTTAGGCAGAGCGCAGGTACAGTCATCAGTGGTACAATGAGCTGAATGATTGCGTCTTATCTTTACACTCCTTTCAAACATACCCAAGACAAGTGAGACACCCCACGCCCCCACTATCTGAATTTCCACTCATGAAAAAAGCTCAACCCGCATGAATATTCTGCAGGTTTATTTTTCACATACACATTTTGGAAACAGATGAATTCAGCCACAAGTCACATCAATTCTTACTCGTTTCATTTTTAAAAAGATTTTTTCCCCCCAATGCCAAAAAATAAATTCAAATTCATGATCTAATTTTCTGATGTTAGCATCTGAAACTTTAAATGCATTTCTCTGCACTCTAAGCAGCAGGAAGATATTCAATATATTCACTTGGACACTTTGCTGGACCTATGGATATGTACCGGTAGGCTTTCAAAATTTGCTGCTGTTCTTTGAGCAAACAGCTTTCTGAGTACTCCTAAAAGCTCAAAATCTCAAATATTTTGGAACTTTCATTAATATCGTTGCTAATCGCTGCTGTTGATTTTTACAGTGAACCAAGATGCCTCCATCAGAGCCGCAGTGAGTGAGGACGACTGAGGGGACCCCCTTTTCATCCCGACACCCGCAGCGGGTCCCACCAACCCCCCTGGCTCAACCCCCCCAGCACCCCCATTTTCTGCAGCGGGGAGGAACCGTGGGCAGGTGAAGCTGCAGCTCCCGCATCGCTCTGGGGGAATTCAAATCCATCTTTCCTGAGAGCTGTTGTGCCCGTGGTTACGCAGCAGCAGATGGAAGCGATTATTGTACAAATAATACTTTTTTCCCCCCTATTTTTTATTTTACCTTACCTGATTTCCTCCCATGCCGTGGCAGTTGAAAATGCCCACTTTTTCATTTTCCTTGCGGCCCATGTTGTCTAAACACTGGTTGGTTTCAACGTTCCTGATCTGAAGAAAGAAAGAGATGAAAATATTCCTTAAAAAAAAAAAAATCCTGTAAATGTCTTATTTGTGCAGAAAAAAATACATCACTGTAAGAGAAAGTACATTATCCGTGCATTCAACTGTATGAATATATTTTAACTTGCAATTTGTAAATATGTCACACTCCCAAAAGAAAATGAAAATAATTACAAAGAGCGTAATGAGATTTTAAATTACATATTAAGTCTAAGCAGGAACAGCATTCAAGGAAGATCTCATTCGATGCCCTGCTTTGTTTTGTTTAACAAACAGGAGGCACTTTTACTTCTAAACAATGCAAAAGTAATGGCTCGCCCAAGAGAGGCACTTTTATTTCCTCCCAGCAGGGCCGACTCCACTCCAAGAGAGACCAACTGAGGCGGAGCAGCGCCTGACTCCTTCCGGGCAGAGGCTGCTGGACGGCTTTGACACCGAACACGTGCTTCTTACAAGTTTTGAAATAAAACATTCCCCTCGGAATCTGTCCGTCCTCAGAGAAGAACACACACGCTTAGTGCACATCTCCGCTTAAACAAACCATTTTGACGTAATTTGTGCGCGGCACGGCGGGAAGGAGGCGGCTTTACAAGCACATCGCCTGCGACACAGCCTGCGACGACGTGGTGGGCTCCCTCCAGCCATGCTCAGCTCGTGCAATTGCGGCCAAAGACCATCGGGGCACGAAGCCACGAGGAGCAGCAGTACCAGAGCATCGCTCCCCAGAACGTACGTTTAGAACATACATTTATCCAGGAGAACAGCTGAGTACAAAAGCCATCAACCAACTTCAGCTGCGCACGAGAGGAGACGCCACGGTCCCCCCCGAAGCTCTCCACGAGGGCGTGTGCGTTCAGCCTGCCCAAAGCCCCGCACGTGCACGCGGCCCCTTTCCTGTCGGCCCCCCCACAGCACAGCGGTACGAACACCGCTCGCCCCGCTCCCAGCAGCACGGGCTGATTTTAACGTGGGCAAAGCAAAAACGTGTCTCCGGGTTCCCTCATTCCTTTGGCAAAACCCTTGTGAAACCCTGTAATGAGAAATATTTCCGTGGCACTTAGTGCAGCTCCCAGCCACCCGCACTCCCCGTGCCACCCGCCGAGGCGCAGTAGCCAACCATGGCCACCAGCCCGGCCTTAACGCAGCAAGGCAGGCAAAACCAGACGGAGCAATCTGATTAACAACGCTGGGGAAGAGCAGCTCAGCAAAGCCCACGTGGTCTCTTCTTAATCTGCTCTAACGTCGTTAACCACACGGAGAGAAGTCGCCCCACCTCGTGCTGGGGAGCCATCTCCCAGAGGCTCGTGCTCCAAACCGCTTAAATCCCTCCGGAGCTGCCGAGGTGCGGAGAGAGGCCGCAGCCACCCGGTCTGATGCCCCCTGATAACCGCACCGCTGGCTTCCACCGTTTCCAGCAGCTTGTAAACCAACCGGCCCTTCTTTAGAGCCCAGCAAATGGCTTTACGTGGCTGCGGCAGTACGGGGCTCGCTGCCGTAACCCGCTGCACGTGGCCACGACCAGCCGGAGCAGAAACGCTGCAGCTCGGGGGGGGACAAGGCAGCTCGTGGACAACCCTCCTCCTCCCCCTCTCCCTGCTCTCCTCCAGCATGTGCCCCTCTGCTGACCACCAAAGCCACTGCAGGACCTAAACTCCGTCTGAATGATTAGCCCAAATGGTAATCCCAGCCCAAATGGTAATCCCAGCCTTTTTTCCTAATTCACCTTTTTGAAGAAATAGAGCTTCCAAGAAGTAGAATTACCAAGAAAGGTAATTTTTTTTTGATTCATTAAAACAGAGGACTAAAATAAAAAGTGACTTGAAAACTCACCTATGATTATTATGTCTCAGGTTTACAAATTCATTCTTTCTTGTCTTGCATTTATTTTGTATTCACTTTCAATGTTACATGATTAAAATGTAAAAAAGAATATTCAGTATTCACCACACTTTGCACATTTAATGCCCGTTCTGAGACATATTTTTGTCCATCTAGGACATTCAAATCTAATACAGTCACTGTATATAAGTTATGTTCTGACTGAATGGAAAATTTGGTTGCAAATAAAGGCTTGGCAATCTTCAGGATCTGCCCATTAAGTGCACAATGAATAAACTTTATAAGCTACTAACAAACTTCGCTCCATACAACTCCACATTTTTGAAATTTCATTTAAAAACTATGCACTTCATTTATAAAAGCAACTGGCATATACGAATTAGTTGTGCAAGAGCCAAATAAAATCCAAATTAAAATGTAATACAATGCTGACTATTATTTCCAACACGTTGGGTGGTGCGCGTGAACCATGCACAGACATTGTCCGAATTTAGGACAAAAGGAAACCGCCTCAAGTTGTGCCAGGGGAGGATCAGGTTGGATATTAGGAAAGATTTCTTCACCAAAAGGGTTGTCAAGTACTGGATCGGTCTGCCCAGGGAAGTTGTTGATGTGGCACTTAGGGACGTGGTTTAGTGGTGGGCTTGGCAGTGTTAGGTTTATGGTTGGACTCAATGATCTTAAAGGTCTTTTCCAACCAAAATGATTCTGTGATTCTATTCCAGAATTAATATTCAGAATCTATTCTGATTTAAATCACACCTGCACTATCTTGCAGGAGGCCATAGGTAAATTAAGGATCATTACCCCCAGTCTGTCAAAATTATTCACTCTTTATCACTGTTTATGCTAGAAAAGAACACAATACGCACTTGCACAGTATAAATCCGAGGCTCAATGTTGAACACTCGTTACATTTAGATTGCACTGCATTAGAGAATAATTTTCCCGGATTTATTATCCAATCTGGTTCTTAGCAGCCAGCAAACCCACGGCTCCCACCCGAGGGCTGCTGAGCACGGTTTTCTCTCCGACGGGAGCGGAGGAGCAGGTCACCTCCCGACCGAGCCCCTCAACGCACAGCGCACCTGCGGAGCAGCCGGGCACAGAGCGTGTGGACTGATGATCTCGGCTGCACCGACAAGTCAGATGGGGAGAAAGAGAGGAAAATGACTCAGAAACACACTTCCGATGTTTTAAAAATTGTCCAATTACTGCTGATGGTGGTACCTGAGCTCTAGGTCTAACAATCCACTTTACGGCTCAACTGGCAGTCAGCAGCTGTAACAGTCAAGTATGAGTTTTAATTCATAGATCCTGTCTGAACTGCTGTTTCCATAGAAACTGAGGCTGCGTTGGTAAAAATAAGGTGTTTTAATAACTATTTTATTACTTTCTCATACTTTTATTTTCCAGTTTGACAATATCGTACAAAACCTTATTATTTGACACTTGTTAGGTGAGTTCTTTCCTTGCTGTAAAATGACATTTCACCTCATTTTGTCATAGTTAAACTGGAAAACCTACTGCGGCTTTTAGTTTTCACTCCAATTGCAAGTTTCAATAGTAAATTACTTTCCTGGCTGTAAAAGCCATTTGCTCATTTGATTGCTATTCTATTTGTAGCTATCTTTACATCAAACCATTCAAGAGCTTTTAAAAGTCAGCGTAGGTATAACTCAATAGAATATTTTTAACAGTGAATTATCTGAATTTTAAGGAGACTTCAGATCTTGGTGGTACTGGAATCACCAGGTTATTAGGAATGTCTGTGATGCTCAGCTCCAGGCAACCTTGCTGGGAACCACAGCATCAGTGAACAAACACATTTCTTGAAAAGAAAAAAAGGCAAAAAAGCTTTTTCTACTCTACATGTAACTGATACGTGATGATGGAAAGTTTCCTTCAACTACTGCATGTTATGTAATATTGGTCACAAACCTCACTTTTCCAATATTCTACTCAATTGAAAAGAGAAATTTTTAATGGTGAACATAGACAGTCAGAATAGCAATGCCCCTTATGAAAGATTTAGAGAAAAAATAACCTGCTCAAAATAAAGGATAAAAAAGATACAGAGAAGGCACACAAGCACTTTTTTCCTTTCTCCAAAACCACTTCATCTTCTTAGAGATGCCTCCATGTGCACAACGTACTTATTGTTCTCACTTAGCCGAAGGAAATGGTTCGTACCTCACCGAGTGAGTAATAGCGCCGTGGAATCTGGGAGTCAGGATAGATGTTTTCCAAGTACCATGAGAAGGGTTTACACTTCAGGTTTTCTCTTAGAGCTTTTCTGATGGATACATCGCCATAATCCACCTTAACGACACCTGGAATTGTTAAGAGAACGGATGATCAAAGCACAGTTTTTGTAAAGCTCAAAGCATAACTCACGGATCCTTCTCCAGCTGTCGTGATTTCCTTTTTATCAATATCCACTTGCTGAAATTATGGTACAGCATATGTGAACATATGCGCAGCTGCTACACTATAGAGCTTTATAGGCATTAAATAATTAATTTAGCAAATTGAAATGCTTGGAAAATTACGTTTCTTCTTTTCAGATAATTTATCAATCTGGAAAGGCAGGACCACTGAACTCCTTGATTTCGTCATATTACAAAATATGAAAGAAAGGAAAACCATATCTGTTCACATTTTTACAAACCATTTTTCCAAAGCATCTTGCTGTTTTCCAGCACTCTGTTCTGAGGGAAACACGTCAGACGAGGCATGGCTATTTTGCTCATGTCATCCAGATCACCCCTCGGGTGAGTTCACCGCAAAGGACGTGTTCTCCACCATTACTCCTAACAGGGGCAGATGTCACATCATGCCACAGGTAAATTGTCACCACGTCCGGCAGTGCCGTTCCTACCACAAGCCTATACGTCAGAGACCGGAGCCAGCAGCATCCCGCTGGCCATCAGGAGCGGTGCGTGGGCCACAAGCCAGAAATACAGGTCATGAAGAGAGAAAAAAACCCCACAACAACAATCAAGGAGAGGGGAAATCAGTTAGAGTCCCCCCTGCACAGCGTATGCCCACGCCGTACAGCGTAACGCGCTCGCCCCGCGCCAGGTCCGGCTCCGGCGGAGGGGATGTCCCCAGCACCGAAGGGCAGCAGAGGCGAGCGCTGCTGGAGACCCGACCAGTGCACACCAGCCCACGGCTGCCCAGCACGCCTTCCCCACCGCGCCCTGGGAAGAAACCCATCACGCTGAGAAGAAATGTCAGACGTACAATTTTAGAGGCCAAGAAAGGGAGACTTCATACATTCAACTTCTCAACCTTCTGCATGAAGAAAGTGTAACAGGAAAATGCCATTTCCTCTCACCACGGAAACTGGTTACCTCTTACCGTTTTACCAAGCTGACTTTTGCAGGTGTGTGCATGACTTTCAGAGTTTAAAATAATATTGAACCAGCAACCTGGAACATCCTTTTCAACGCCAACATACTCCAGGAAGGGGACAGCTCAGGAGGGAACTGTGCACAGAACCCCAGCCTGGTTTGGGTGGGCAGGGACCACCCAGCCCACCCAGTGCCACCCCTGCCATGGGCAGGGACACCCTCCACTAGCCCAGGTTGCCCAAAGCCCCATCCAACCTGGCCTTGACCACTTCCAGGGAGGGGAAGTGAGGCATTACAGATATAAACATAAAGGCCAGTCTCAAGGTGCTCAGCCAACTTGGAAACATAAAATTGTTTTAGTTAGAAAAGACCTGTAAGATCATCAAGTCCAACTGTTAACCCAGCACTGCCAGACCAACCGCTAATCCATGTCCCTCAGCACCACATCTACAGGTCTTCTAAAGACCTCCAGGGATGGTAACACCACTGCTTCCCTGGGGTAACTTGAGTTCTTAAGACAGATAACCAAAAACCAAAAAGCAGGTCAAATATTCTCTGTAGCCTACTTTAATCTAATTTCAGACAAGAACTACAGTCCAAAGAAACAGTGGTAGGCAAAGCACTACTAACTGCCAGCACTCAGCTGAAATAGTTTGAAAGACACTCTAGACTTACATCTGAAATGCACGCTGTGTTTCCATCATCTTCTGTTTTCCATTATTTATGGGATCTGATTTTGAAATTATCAGAGGTGAGCTCCAAGGCTATCAGCATATTCTGCCAGGAAATCACGCCCCAAAGCACAAGATGATATCAACTTGTAAAGAAATTCAGTACACAACAACAGTAAAACAATTAATTAACAAAAAATTAACTTATTTTGGATAACCACTGTTATCCACATTTCCAAATCTCTACTGGTTACGTCTTTAACAAATTATGTTTACATATCATTATATAATTGTAGGATATGATGTAATTCTAGATAATTAACTAAAATACAGGATACTCTACAAATTATTGCTACAGGATAAAATCAGGGTGGGTGCTCCTGGGAAACACTTCAGCCTCATCACAGTGGCTGGGCACAACTGATGATCTGGATCTGCAAAAACTCCTCAGAAACCAAATGTTCTTGGTCAGTGCCAAGAAATTAAGTGGCATTAGGAAAGCATGAAATTTTAAACTTCAGTAAACAGAAGAACTTAAATAAAACCTTCAATCGTAACCCATATAGAGAACTTAAACCATAATAACTGAGGGGATGGCAGAAAAGTGAAGACAAATCAAATCCAGGTGCCAGGAGCCTTCATCTGCTCGGCAGCTCTCAGAACATCTTCTGGGCTACAGTGTGCTCAGTGAGGCATTTGGGGAGGTTTTATAAAATTTCTAAAGTTCTTCAAGATTCCCCCCACCTCCACCCTGCAAGAAACAGAGGTAATTTATCAGCTGTTCTGCAATCAAGGAGTTTCATTTGACTCTGTTTAGACCAAGAACACCTGCCTGACTCCAAAAGCCAGCTGTGCAATGAGTGCTACACAGGACTGAACTGAAAACATCTTTGCTTTCAAGAAAAAAAGAGACTTTATTAAAAATAAAAATAACGTTTTCTGGGCAAGGGGGAGTGGGGCTCTGCGAATGCTGCCTCTTCTGGAGGAAGAGATGTGCATTACTGCTATTATTTGTGCTACTCAATCATCACCTACGATTAAGCTAATCTTCCTCATGGGAAGGCACTGGAAGTGTTTGGAGAAAAGCAGTATCTGTGTTTCGTAGTGCTTTGTACTGTGAGGATGCGATGAAGCTGAACACGAGGAAAAAGGGTATTAACACTGTTATAGCCCGAGATCGCAAACAACACAGCCTGCCCCCACCGTACACACACGCTTTGGTATTTGAGTTACAAACCAAATCAGAAATGCCATCTCGCAATGAAAACACCCTGTGGACTCACCAAACACCTTGTTTCTATTTTGCTTTACAATTCTTACAGGGATTTCTATTTCCACACTTGGTTCAGCCCTGCTGGGACAGAAAAAAGCAATAACCCTTCTTCCACTCAATCTGACTCAACTTCATACTTGAGTTTTCTTTAGTTAAACGAACTCCAGCAAGGTGAACTCCAGTTCTGCATTTATCAAAACTTAGCAGTAGAGATGGGGAGCCTTTGGTGGGTTTGGCATGCTCACCTCACGGGGCAGGTTTAACTTCAGGCTCTTCAGGTCTCGGGATCCCACCAGCATGGTGGTGCCCCAAGTCTCCAAGTCACTGGCATCAGTCCACCCTTCAGTTCAAGCTGTCTCTTCCCCTTCTCTCCACTGGGTCCTCATATGCTCCCCACTACCACCCTGACAGGTTCTCCCTTCCCAAAGCTCCTCTACCATATATTGTCTTCAAGCAAGGACCTCATTTGTATGGATCGCCAGTAAACCTTTATATTCCCTTCCGCTCAATTTCAAACCAAGCTATTATGAATCAATACCTATTTATCGTCACTACTTGCTAAATAAATCGATGGGACACAGAGGAAATATAGAAATAATTAACGACTAATAAGTCTGCTTATGCTTAAATAAGAAAGCATAAGTAAAATGTCCTTGGGTGCAAAAAAAGAAATGAAACATCACAAAAAGCTACGTAAAGTGCAGCACACAAATGAATGGATTAAAAATACCTCAGGAAAGAAGTAGATTGTTTTAACAGAGCAGCAGGTATGTTCCAAGCAGAACAAATCAAACGGCTGCAGCATCGCATTACACCTGCAATTTTCCTAATGAGCATGTCCTGCAAACTGCCACACAAGGACAGTGTTTCAAAACTGGCTAACCGTGCCATTCCTGCAGAACAAGACATCAATTCATGATGAGAAAGATGAAAAAAAAAATTCACCTGGAATGAAACAGAAATTGCAGAACTGAGAATAATTTTCTTTATGTAAGCATAACAATTTGAACACTTAATCCAAATCAGGCTTTTGCTATCCTTCACTGACTCGAGAAACCTCACAGAAAACCGATGTTTGATTGAGCCGATATTCCAGCGCACTCGAAGGGCGAGCAATGTGACCAGGGAAGTCGGTCTATGCACATCCCTCTGTGATTCAGTTCTGAAAACCTGCATCGCGTTGCTCGGTAGCCAGCTCGTTATCCGAGGTGCCCCCTTTAAATGACAAAGCTAAGAACCAAGTCAGTGACCACCGGGAACCTCCAGCGATGGAGACGGTTTAGTTTGATTTTTGCCTTTTTTTTTTACTGCCAAAGCAGCATTCAAAATCATATTATGTTTCAGAGGATTAAAGATGGCAAAGTGCTAAATTAAAAATGAGTTTGCAACACCAGGATGCCTGGTATGGCACATGTTACAGAGACGCAATGAGAACGCTTGCTAATAAATTTGGAAAAATACCAGTTTGTGTCTCAGCCTGGTTCAACCGGTGCCTGGAAGGATGCTTCTCTCCAGCACGCTCTGCTGCCTGTTCCTTCAAGCTTGGGAAACTCGTGTACCGGTAACCAGGGGCTTACAGTCCGCGTTGTCGCTTTGCCGATGCAAGAGGAGCGATCCATCCCTCCCAGCTGCCCCGGACACGGCCGAACACCAGGCAGCTCTGGCAGGGTTTACCAGCTCCTTACAGTGCCATTCAGAAAATAACACACGTAATGCTGCACGCTTCTAAAATCCAGGGACTTGTACGTTATATCTGTATCAAACCCAGACATATTAATTGATAACACATTAATTTTCTCATTAGCCAAAACATTAAGTTCTTGACATGTCTTATTTGTATTGCCAAAACACACACGTAACTCATTAAAAAGTAAAACAAACAAAAAATGTGCCACCTCAAAAAAACCCCACCACCCACCCTCGCCCCTATTGCTGAGAAGTTCTCATATCAATTCATGAGTGATCCAAGGTGAACAGAGGTAGTGGCTTTGTAATATAAAATATGGTATGGAATGAAGATTCTGATTCATGGG